GCAGCAGAGACAACATTGGCAGCAGCAGAGGACAACATTTGCAGCAGCAGAGACAACAACGGCAGCAGCAGAGACAACGGAGACGACAGCAGCAACATCAACACCAATCGCTGGTCCTTCAATGGCACCGATCTTCGTCGACGACACACCACCGACACCCGCGTAGCAACTGCACCCAGCATCATGAGAAGTTCATCGAAGCGCCAACCTCACCGCTAGCTTCTATTCCAACTCTGATATGCATCGGCGCTCACTCGGACATTGTTCTCAGAATCCCAACCACTAGACCATTGGGATAAAAGGGCTTGTTTCAGTAGCGGGTCAGTGCGCCCATAACCCCCCAGGCAAACGTGCCTGTAACCCTTCCCTAGGATCGATCGGGGATCACCAGTGGACCTCTGACACCCCCCCGCACTGGGATGCCCGAAGTGCATACACCGGGATTCGAACCCGAGACCTTCGCTCTGGATACCATCTCAGAATCCCAACCACTAGACCATTGGGATAAAAGGGCTTGTTTGTGTAGCGGGTAAGTGCGCCCATAACCCCCCAAGCCAACGTGCCTGTAACCCTTTCTTAGGATCAATCGGGGATCACCAGTGGACCTCTGACACCCCCCCGCACTGGGATGCCCGAGGTGCACACACCAGGATTCGAACCCGAGACCTTCGCTCTGAATACCATCTCAGAATCCCAGCCACTAGACCACTGGGATAAAAGGGCTTGTTTGTGTAGCGGGTAAGTTCGCCCATAACCCCCCAGGCAAATGTGCCTGTAACCCTTCCGTAGGATCGATCGGGGATCACCAGTGGACCTCTGACACCCCCCCGCACTGGGATGCCCGAAGTGCATACACCGGGATACGAACCCGAGACCACTCTGATACCATCTCAGAATCCCAACCACTAGACCATTGGGATAAAAGGGCTTGTTTCAGTAGCGGGTCAGTGCGCCCATAACCCCCCAGGCAAACGTGCCTGTAACCCTTCCCTAGGATCGATCGGGGATCACCAGTGGACCTCTGACAATTGTGCCACCGAAGGCACCTGGCACGCAAGAATGGGACACCCAAGCAACACGGTGTTAAACAACACGATAAGAGCAAGCGTGCTCGACAAAGACTCTCTACTCCTAACTGACGGCAGAGAACTTCAGCGAGCCCGTGGAACATGCTTCACCTGTCCTGAAGTTGACTTACCGCATCAACCGTTTGCGTCTCACCACAATCCAGGCGCACCAGCTTACGCACCACTCGAGAAGGTGTACAGCGACATCCTGTACAACCGCGAGCCTGGACAAAATGCGTACAATTACACCATCACCTTCATCGACGCAGCCACTCGATACGTCTAGCACCTAGATCTTCCAAGCAAGGACATGGTCTTCGAAGCCTTCGTCGTCTGGCTTCCAGTAGCAGAACAAGAATCGGGCGTAAAACTCAAAAGCTTCCAGTCATACGGAGGGGGAGAATACACCTCACAAAGGTTCAAAGAGTACTTGGCAGAGAGAGGAATCAAGGGACTCATCTCTCTCCCCTATGCCCATCAACTGCAGGGTGTAGCAGAAAGGATGAACAGGACCCTCTAGAACACCATGCGCAAGCAGCTACGTGGCATGCACCTGCCCAACCACCAGCGGCCCAAAGCAATGGACCACGCCGTCATGCTGCACAACTTGCTCTCGTCATCATCGTTCCCGAACAACGCATCACCGCATCTGCTATGGACAGGAAAACAGGGCAGCACAAAAATGTTAAGAGTCTTCGGCTGCATGGTACAGTACCGGCCTCCATCTGCACGAGCTGGCCGATTCTCACAACGTGCACAGTGGGGACTACACCTGGGCATCGAAAAACACTACAATGCATGGAAGATTTTCGACGTCGAGACAAAGGAAATAGTAGCAGCACGTGATGTCATCTTCTACGAAAACCTCGCCCTCCGGTATTACCTTGCCAACTTGCAAGAAGGAAACCCCGATCACTCCGATGGTTTTCTTGGCACCCGGGCCTTCGCCTCGGTAGACGACGAAGCTGACTGGGACGAGCCGAACGTGGAAGGAGCCTCGGAAGAAGCTGGACCCCTCCCCTACTGCTCCATCGACGTGCCAATGGACGACGAAAACCCATGCGAAAGCATCAACGCCGAAACCTATTACCATTTCGCTGACAACGGTTACGTTATACCTGCACAAGTCAACACTGACGAAGCAGAACGCGTAGGACCCAATTTCGCACCTGATCCAGAAGTGGGAGACGAATCTGTTTATCCCGCGGACATGTCACTTCCCCGCTACACACAGAGTGGACTCCAGATACTCGGACTCGTCACCGCAGTCCACGGCACGGCCATTCCTAAGGAGCCTGCCACAGTTCAGCAGGCTCTAGGGGGGGAGCATAAGGAAAAATGGCGCGAGGCCATGGACAGGGAATTAAAGGCACTAGAGGAGCGCAACACCTGGAAAGTCGTCCCTATCAGTGTGGCACGGAACAAAACGATTCTCACCGGAAAGTGGGTCTTACGAGTGAAAACAAAAGCAGACAGCACCATTGACAAATTCAAAGCACGCTGGGTTGTACGTGGCTTCGACCAGGAAACACGGACGTGACTTCACCGAGACATTCGTCCCGGTCAGCCGACACACCCCACTTCGAATCCTTCTCGCGATCGCCGCCATGAAGAAAAAGAAGCTGCGGCAAATCGACGTCGCAAATGCATTTCTCTACGCACCTGTTGACGCTGAAATCTTCGTTGAGCTCCCGCACGGCTCCAACGGGGAACCCAACCAAGTCTGTCAACTGCTGAAGTCGCTCTACGGCATCAAACAAGCTCCGAGGCTGTGGCAACAGTACCTGCACGCAAGACTTATCCGCATAGGATTTCGCCAGCTACCTCACGACCAGGGAATGTACCGGGTGACAAAAGGCACTGACTACATCCTACTAATCGTCTAAGTAGACGATCTGCTCTACATCGGGTCGACCGACGGCGTCACTACTTGGTTCGAAGGGGAGCTGCATGAAGACCTCATGCTCACAGTCTCGTCCACTGTCACACAATACATCGGTCTCAACATACGGGAAGAAGAAGACGCGATCTACCTTAGCGCCGCAAAATACGCCAACACCATTGCCAAACGCTTCGCTCTCACACCAACTACCATCTCCACGCCATATCGCTACGCGGTAGGAAACTGCAAGGAAGAATCCGCTCCACTGAAGCCCGCCGGCATACGTGACTACCAGAGAAAGCTGGGCTGTCTCCTCTTCGCAGCCGTCACTTGCCGTTCGGACCTGTCATACTCCGCAAGTCAGCTCGCGACCTACCTGAAGAAACCTGAAGCACAACACATGGCGGAGCTCGACCGCGCTCTCCACTACCTCGTCAGCACCCCAACAATCAGCCTGACCTATCACAAGAACGGGACCACGCCACCTAGGCTAATCGGCTACGTCGACGCCGATCACGCCGGCGACTCCAACAACAGGCGCTCCCGCACCGGCTACATCTACAGCTTCGAGCCTATCGGCCCTATCTCTTGGCAGTCGAGCAAGCAGGAATTAATTGCTCTCTCCTCAGCTGAAGCAGAATATATCGCACTCTGCTCAACCACCAAGGAAGGACTGTACCTTCGCGAACTCCTGGAGGAAGCCAAGCTAGCCCAGTTACCGAACTTCACCCTGTTCTGCGACAACCAGTTGGCCATTCGCATAGCCAACAAGAACGGCTTCCCGAACGGGACAAAACACATCGCCCTGCGATATTTTTTCGTGAAGGACGAGATCGAGAAGGGGAGACTCGAGCTGTCATACTGCCCCACGTCCGAGATGGCAGCTGATTACTTGACCAAGAAGCTCGGAAAACAGAAGTTCGAGTACTGCATGCTGCTGACTGGACAGAGCCACGTCACCAGCAGCGACACTCCAGAAGCGAAGGGGAGTGTTGGAAACAACTAATTCTAAGTGCCTCTATCGTGTCGAAACACCAAGGCACAAGCGAAGCACAACATATCGCAGCATCAGCGAATCAACCCTCGGAGGTTGAGCAACTGCTGGAGGTTACGCGAAAGTCAAAGGTCAGCGACCTTTGACCTGACAAGTACAGCGCGACAGCAAGGACACACATCTGACTCGCTACAGAGAAGTTGCCCGAGTCGTCACTGTATCGAACCGCAACAGCAACAGTAAAGTAGTTGTAATCGTATCTCTTCGTATTCCTTGTACTCTTATATAATCCTGTATCTCTTTGCTTTAATCGATCTACTTTGCCCTCACATACTAGCGCAAGGTGGTTCACAGTACTCTTCATTAAACGCTTCCGCTATTACATCAGTCCTACCCAGAGTTCACCCCTGCAAAGATCCTAAAGGCTTTTTCTCAGCCCAACAGCAACTACCGGTACGGATATTGAATCGAAGCCTAGAAAAGATGTAACGAGGGTCCTAGCTATACGAGGACCTCTGAAGACGAGTCAGAAGGGGACGAATGTCAGCTAGAGGTCATCGGGCCGAGCCTGATATTTCGAAAAAATGTTGTACTTGTAGAGTAATTTCAGGAAGGAATATATATTCCTTACAAAGAGGCACTTACAAAAGCATGACAGTTTGACGACGGGTTCGGCTTGGACTGGTGGTGCCCGTTCGGGGTCAGGTCACACGATAGTTCGTCTGACGCGCACGGTCGGCTAAGGTTTTCAAGTTTCGACTCTCACCGGTTTAAACCATTGCTCACCAGAACGAACCTTCAAATACAATAGCCCGCCCTCACAAGCGAAGCAACCACAAAGCCAGAAGTGGGTGGATGTACCAAATCCAGAAACCATGTAGTGCTCGCCAAGAATCTGGGCAAAGCAAGCTGGTCAACACCATGGAGCAACTTTATCAGTATACTGTGTACTGTCCATGCGCCATTGCTCAGCGACACTCGAGAAATCCCTCATCCAAAAGTTCAACTTCCGCCATATCCAAATTCTCACCTGCTACCTCGTTCACCTTGATTAGCCATGTCCCTAAATAGTTCTCCCAGTCGCGACGAATCATGTCGGAACGGCCTCAAGGCAACCTCCTTCCGCTCATCCGCGCGGGCCACGTCGTCTCCATCTGGCACGACATCGTCCTCTTCTCCCCCGCTCCCGCCGCCGCCAGTCGAACGCTCGTCCCGCAGCAAGCCACCCGCGCCGCTCAACTTCATCTGCACGTCCGGCAAGTCCTCGTCGTTCGCCGCGTCGCTCTCGGGTCGTCGTCGTCGCCTGTCGCTCGACGGCAGCGTGCGCGTCGACGACGCGGAGCAGCGCCCGTGGAACGTCGGCATAATTCCGCAGACCTGCGTCCTCGCGCCCGCTCCCTCCGAACCGACCCCAACCGCTCCCCCCCCAAGCGAACCCGTCGCTACGATCAGGCGTGATTTTTTCCGCTCGCTTTCCGTGTCCTGCGTCCCCTTCGGCGATCTTCTGGGCGACGCCTCTAGCGACACCTCGGGCGACCCTTTCGCCGAGCCCGACGCCGCGTTTCCCGTGATTCTGGACAACGCGCCTTTGGAGGCGGTGGAGGTGGGCGCGAGGGAGCGCGACCCGGGCGACGTGTTCCCCGTGCTGCCGCTCCTCGCGCTGCCCGTGCGCCTGCGCCCGGGCCTGAAGTCGGAGGTTTCGTGGAAGCTGGTAGTGGTAGCGGCGGACGATCCGCAAGTCGAGGGGGGGGAGACGGCGGCCGTCGCGGCGACGGCGCTGCCGCAAGTGAAGGCGTGGGCCGACGCGGGAGGGTTCACTACAGTCGGGCCGAACCCGTGGCGGATTCTCGAGTCCCCGCAGCGCAGCGACGCGGACGATTGGGAGAAATCTGCGCGGAAAGCGCAGCGCGTGGTGCGCGAGGCGCACGACGTGTGGAGGCTGCTCGTCGCGACGCTGCGCCGGCCCTCGCTGCAGCGCGGGCACCGCGTGAGCGAGCGCGCCGTGGAGGGATGGAAGGCGCACGACGGGGTGGACGCGGGCGGGAAGGCCGGCGGCAGCAGCAGCAGCCGAAGCCACGAGAACAGCAGCCTACTTCAGCTACTTGCGCAACCCGCCGGCAACAGCGGGGTTTTCGGTGGAGAGGCGAACGGCGGGAGCTGCAGGAGCGGCGGCGGGAGTATCGCCGGCGCAGAGCGCGCGTCGGGGGGAAAGGCGGGGAGTGAGCGGGGCGTGCTGTCCGCCGCCGCCAAGGCGGCAACGGCGGCCGTGGGGGCGGCTCGTGGGCTTGCGCGACACAAGGAGGCGCGGGCGCTTGGAGGGGGCGACGACGATCCGGTCGAGGAGGATGTCAGAGACGACCGCTCCGATTCCACGGAGGGCGTTTCCTCCCAAGATGAGTTTGCCGCCCAAGATGAGCTTGCCACCCAAGATGAGTTTGCCGCCCAAGATTATAACCCCGCCCAAGATGAATATGCAGGGCAAGTTGAGTATGCAGGGCAAGACGATTACTACGTTACGCTCGCGGGTGACGAGGAGGAGGACGAGGTGGAGGAGGGGGGCAGGGAACCCGAAGTCACGACGCAGTTTGAACGAGTGGGAAGTGAGGGCAGCGGCGAGAGCAGCAGCAGTGGTGGCGGCAGGCACAGGCCCGCGCCCCATCACCAGAGTTCGCCTGTGAGACCAGCCGCTTCGCCAAAAGCCTTGCCGCTGATGGGCGCTGCTCCGCGTGCGCTTGTGCGGGGTGCCACGTGGAGTGCCGGCACGGGCAGCAGCGCTACTGGCGACGGGGGTGGCGGTGGGAGGAACAGTTGGGCGAGTGTGCAAACCAGTCAAAGCTTATCGAGATTTCACAGCGAACGCGACGGTTACAGATTAGGGCAGACCAAGAAGGTTTCTGTTAGCCACTCGGTTTCACCGCCTCGTGGCGTTCGGCACTCGCGGTCTTTGGGAGAAAACGACGTCCACGTTACTGACAGCATCGGTACAAGGCGAAGCCTCACGACTGGTAGTAGGGGTGCTTCGGCTCTTGCAAGTTTCGACCAGGGAGGCAGATTCGCTGGTGATCTGGCTGACGCGGACGCGAGTTCTAGTTGCTGTAGCGACACTGGCCAAGTGGAAGATGGTAACAATCTAGTCAGAAGCAAATCGGACCCCCATCACTCGTGGAACAGTGGGCGGCTCGAAATTACCTTGCCCTTGAGCAGGAAAAGCAGCACCATCACCACACCCAACTCCTCCACACCCAAGTCCACCACACCCAACTCCACCGCTTCCACTCCGAGCAGATTGATCCGGCCAGCGTGGGCCGGGCTGGACTCCATGTTTAGCAGCGCGCCCCTGATAGTGCGGCGCAGCCGGTCGGGGCTGGAGGGCGATGGCAGTGAGCAGCACATCACTGTGAGAACCCGCAGCCTCGGCTCACAGGGCGGGGCAGCTGGTAGTGGTCGCAGTAGGGGTGGTGGCTCCCCTCCGTCTCCCGACAGCGACGCTGCTGCTCTTGTGGGGTGCTATGGGGTGGTGATAGGTCGTCGGCCAGACAGGTCGGTGGTGCAAAGAGAGGGGTTGGGGGAGGAGGACGTGAGAGAGCGGCATGAGGCAGGGCATGGGAGCAGGTGGTCCTTCACTCCTTCTCTGGTTCGGTCACGCACCGACCCTGCCAGGTTCGGAGCAGGCCAGAGGAGGTACAGCCTGGACTCAGGCAGCAAGGGCAAGGGGTACGGGCGTGCATCAAGCAGCGGGGGGTATGAGCAGGCCCAGAGGGGGTTGCCCCCTGGTGCGCGCTCTCACAGTTCTGCAGGCCCTGCCTCTCCTCACCAACATGCACCTGCGCTCACTCGCCGATGGAGTGCCGCCGCCGCCCACCGCATCTCCCTGAAGCACCTGTGGAGCCAGAGCGGGCGGGATGCGTTGTCCTCACCCAGTGGTGCAGAGGGCAGAAGGAGCAGCTCCCAGGGCAGCCAGAGCTCTCGTAGTGCGCATGCTGGGGGTGACACGGACGCAGGCCAAGGGGGTGTGGCGGGAGAAATGCAGTGGCAGCACCAGGACCATGCCGTGCACCCTCGTGCTTCCTTCACTTCCCACGCTTCCCATGCTGTACCCATTTCCCATGCTTCCCACACTGCATCCATTTCCCATGCTTCCCACACTGCATCCATTTCCCATGCGTCCCATGCTCCCCACACTTCACCTGCTCCCCATGCTTCCCATGCCTCCCACTCTCCTCACTCTTCCCATACCTCCCACGCTCCTCACTCTCCCCACGCTTCCCAATCTCTTCACATTGCCCACTCTCCCCACGCTGCCCACACTTCCCATACCATTTTCCATATTTCCCATGCATCTCTTGATTCACACCCTTTCCGCACTCCCATGCGGACCAAAATTAGGCGCACTTCATCATATGAGCACGCAGGCACTCAGCAGGTAGCAGCATTGAAAGACATGCCACGGGATCCAGGGAGACCGGTTCTTGTAAAGAGCGTGTCACACAAGGCTGAACGGCCGAGCAGGCCCACTGTGGTCCATAGACCGCATACTACCTCCGGAAGCAGCTGGCATATGGGGTTGGAGCCGTCAGGCACCATTGATTAGGGTTGTTCTGATCCAATCAGATCACCATTGAGTAGGATTCACTTATGTGTACTGCAAAAATCGGGCTATCCCAATGACTTTTGCACCCTCATAACCAGTTTCTTACCTGCTAGTAATGTGTCAGCAAGTTCCCTATACACCATTGAACTATGGCTGAGGTTTCCACTCCGTTCAAACCCTTAAAGTTGTTTCTATATGCTGGTATTACATACACACTCTAACGGCTCATGTATACTTAGTACATACATTGTGTATTTGTAAAACAGTGCCAGAAATTTGCTTACATTCCACGTCAATTGTGCGTCAATGATGAACTTTACCGACGCGTGTCTGCCTGCCATCGGCGGTCCACCCTATCGTAACCGCCACGTCAAATCGCCGTTCGCCTTCCAGCTCACATCTATCTTCTAACTTTCCCCCCATCCCCTCACTCCTGTCAGCGGGACTTGCGATTGTGTCACAGAAGCAACCGCCAATGAGGCCGTCGCCTGCCTCGCAAGGCAACAGCAAGTGCCTCAAACGAGGGGAATCAAATTCGCAAGTACACCATTCCAGCGAGATCCACAATGCAAGTCCCTCCCTAGTTTCAACTCAACCCACACACCTCGATTGTTGAGTCAGTTTCTTACTACTAACTCATTTCCGTCGCCTGCTGCCGCCATATCTCGCGATCCGACGCGAATCGCACCGACTGTTTCCAGTGTCCGCGTCTATCCGTTATGGCGGCCTTCGCTGCGGTCAGCTTCGCGTCCTTCGCGGGCCTTCGCGCCCTCCCCGCCTCCCACGGCGACACACAAGGCGCTTCCACCGCCCTTAGCGTCCCTTCGTCGCAGCGACCCGGCAGCGGCACGTGCGTCGTGCGGGCGGATGCGCGGCGGCGGTTGGGGCGTCGCGCGGGGGATGAGGATGAGGGGACGGGGATCGGCGCGCTGGTGCCCGTGAGTCCCGAGGACGATGCCGTTCAGACCAGCGGCTCGGGCAGACGCGCCAGCGGGTGAGGCGGAGAGCGGGATTGAGAATGCGCTGGTTTCGTTGCTCATAGATGGTACCTTTAGGTGGCTGTGGGGCGACGGCCCTGTGGGAATTGTGCTTGCGACGTTTCTTGAATTTCGTTCCGGAGTTGTTCGTTTCTCTCGTTACGCCGCTGCACTCCAAGGAATCGAATGCGCCTGGGTGGCCTCGGGCGTCTCTGAGAGTTTTTGGCGGTCTTGGTCGATGAATTGCGGATCCACAATTTGAAGCTTCGCGGAAGTTTGCGCTTAATTCGTTACTCTTGTTGCTCTGATTTGTTACTTCGCGGATGATTGCTCCCCGTTTCCGCGCTCGACCTTTGGATCTACGCGCTTTGCGTGAATGCGAATCGCGCAAACTGACTCAAGTCCGCCTACGTGTTCATGCCCGCCTCACCTCGCCTTCTCACCCGCGCCTCACACACACTGTGCTGCACCCAAACCCCTAGGCCTGTCTAACTGCTCCAATTTTCCCCTGATCGCAGTCTCCTTGCCTTCCCTTTGCGCCCTCAATCCCTCCACACGCTTTTCTTCCTTTTACACCCCTCTCCCCCCTCTCTTTCTTTCACGCCATCCCCTTTCTCCTCCGCACCCCTTCGCCTCCCCTTCCCTTCCCCCTCCCGCTCCCCCCCATCTCCCCCCAGCTATTACTCGTACCAGGGGCAGCGCGCGGCGGCGGAGCAGGCGGCGTTCGTGCGCGACATGGAGGCGGCGGCGGCGGCGGCGGCGGCGCAGCAGACGGAGCGGCAGGTGCTGATGGACTCTGACGTGGCGGCCACGCAGCAGTCCACGTACCAGCGGAAGACCAAGATCGTCTGCACCATCGGCCCCACCAGGTGCGCCATCCGCCCCACCAGGTGCGCCATCCGCCCCACCAGGTGCGCCATCCGCCCCACCAGGTGCGCCATCCGCCCCACCAGGTGCGCCATCCGCCCCACCAGGTCCGCCCTCCCCCCCGCCACGTGCGGGGCTAGCGGGTGGATAAGCGGGCCCGCCATGTAGGGGGGTGAGACAGAAATTTTCGTCTCACCAGGCGCGCCATCCGCCCCGCCAAGTGTGTCATCCGCCCCGCCAGGTGCGCTATCCTACCCTCCAGGTGCGCTATCCTACCCGCCAGGTGCGCTATCCTACCCGCCAGGTGCGGTATCCTACCCGCCAGATGCGCCATTGTCCCTGCCGGGTGCGTCACCGGCCCATGGTGGGTAGCCATGGCAGCGGGCATGGGAGAACTGTGGAAGCTGCGTTTGTTTCCTCCCCCATGGCTGCAACATGTTCTCTGCACGTCCTTTCCGCCCTCCACCCCCCTCCCCAAATCACTATTTCCCCCCTCTTCCCCCCCTTTCCCTTTCCCCGCCCCAACTTACCGCTCCTGGCGGCGCAGCAACACGCGCGAGATGCTGTGGAAGCTGGCGGAGACGGGCATGAACGTGGTGCGGCTGAACATGAGCCACGGCGACCACCAGTCGCACCGCCGCGTCGTCGACCTCGTGCGCGAGTACAACAAGGGGCAGGCCAGCCAGGGCGCCGGCAACGTGCTCGCCATCATGCTCGACACCAAGGTGCGTCGCTCGCTCCCTCCAGGGGGCCTTGCCGCTCAACACTCTTGAGCGTCCTTGCTCACCAATCTCATCTGACTGCCCGCCCTCTCATCCCGCGCCCTCCGCCCTACCTCTCTCCCCCTCTCGCCCTGCTCTACCCATCCTCCTCCGCGCCCCCCTCCCTCCTCTTTCTTCACCACAGGGCCCCGAGGTGCGGAGTGGCGACCTGCCGCAGCCGATAGAGCTGGAGCGCGGGGAGAGCTTCACCTTCACCATCCGGCGCGGCGTGGGGTCGCACCGCACCGTCAGCGTCAACTACGACGGCTTCATTGATGACGTGGACGTCGATGACATCATCCTCGTCGATGGTGAGCTGGCTGGCAGGGCGTGCTGGCGTCATCCTTGCGGAGCGTGAGAGCGCATGGTGACGTCAGCCGCAGCAGCGGCTGAGAAGTGGGATTGCACCTTCTGCTGCACCCCTCCTCGCCTCACCATGCCACCTGCTTGCGCTCTTCTGAACCCCCTCCTGCCAACTATTGCTAACCCTCCCCTCCCGCGTCGCCCGTTCCCACCGACCTCCACCATTCCCTCCCACCTCACCCGTCCCCCGCGTCCTTGGCGTGTGGGGCAGGCGGCATGATGTCGTTCCAGGTGAAGAGCAAGAGCGCGGAAGACGTGGAGTGCGAGGTGGTGGACGGGGGCGAGCTCAAGTCGCGCCGCCACCTCAACGTGCGCGGCAAGTCCGCCACGCTGCCCTCCATCACAGGTCCGCGCGCTGCCCTCCATCACAGGTCCGCGCGCTGCCCTCCATCACAGGTCAGTCGATTTGTCGCCCAGGGTGTGCCGCCCATCACAAGTCAGCTGGTTGCCGGTGAAGGGTAATTGCACCGGTGATGAGGTAATCGCCGTTCTTTCCTTGGTCGTTGCACTCCCTCACTCTCAGTTAATTTCTTGGTCTCTCTCCGCACTCCTTCCCTCACCTTTGTTCCGTCCCTCGCTCTCCAACAGCCACAAAAGGACCGGGAGGTTGGCTGGTATGCACTCTCTCACTCTCTCACTTACTCACTCACTCAGTCACACGTGCACTCACGATTCTACCTCTTGATCCCCCTCTCTGATTCTCGCGGTGCAGACAAGGACTGGGAGGACATTCGATTTGGAGTGGAGAACAAGGTGGACTACTACGCGCTCTCCTTCGTCAAGGACGCCCAGGTCGTGCTGCAGCTCAAGGAGTACCTCAAAGGTGCGCGCTGCACCGCATGGCACCACATGGTACTGCGTGGCATCACATGGCACCACGTGGCTGTTTGTGTCTTCCACCTGTCTCCCCACCTCACCCCACATTATCCCCACCCCATGCACACTTCACATTTCCACTCCCCCCCAACCCACTGTCGCCCCCTCTCCCACCTCCCACCCCCCACGCTCCATGCTGAGTTGCATCCCCCACTCCTTCCCTCTCCATTCTCCCACCCCATGGACTCTTCCCCTTCCTCCTCCTGCCAAGCCAGGGTGCGGAGATTGGCTGGCGTGACAACCAAGATTGAAGTGCCGACGCCATTCACAACCTCGCTGTTTGCTGCATGCTGTCGCCACCTCCTCTTTCTCGCCCCCCCCCTCCTCCCTCCCCCCCTTCCCCAACCTTCGCCGCCAGGCCAGGGCGCGGACATCGGGGTGATAGCCAAGATCGAGAGTGCGGACTCCGTGCCCAACCTGCACGCCATCCTCGAGGCCTCCGACGGGGTACGCAGGGGCCACGGGACTGCGCGTGGGGCGCGGTGGGAGACAGGGGGGGTTCGGGCGGGGGAGTTGGGGTGATGGGGCAGGGGATGAGGTGGGGCAGAGGGACACCAGGGAAACTGGTGGGGAGGGGGGAACCCAGGGGGCCAGGGGGGCCAGGGGGGACATAGTGATGGGAACAGGGAAGATGGTGTGCAATGGGCATGGGGGCGGTGCAGGCGGGAAAGGGAGGGATGGGACAGGCAGTGGAGGAGAGGGCGATTTCGGTTACTCTGCTGTATGCGCCGCGCCCCATCCCTTTGAAAGGCTCTCCCCCTCCTCCACATTTCCCCGCCTCTGCTACCCGCGGTCCCTACCTCCGCCCATCGCTACCTGCTTCCACCCCCCCCCTCCGCCTCCGGCTTACCTTGTTCCTTCAACCCCTCTCATTGTGAATCTCCCCATCCGTTTTAATAAGTCCCCATGCCAGCTGTGCTTTTCCCCGATTTCCCTTCCCTTCCTCCACCTTTAAGTCTCTCACTGCCTCACCACCCTTTTCTGCCTCTCTGCCTCTCTGTCTGTCTGCCTCTCTTCCTCTCTGCCTGTCTGCCTCTCTTCCTCTCTGCCTCTCTGCCTCTCTGCCTCTCTGCCTCTCTGCCTCTCTTCCTCTCTGCCTGTCTGCCTCTCTTCCTCTCTGCCTCTCTGCCTCTCTGCCTCTCTTCCTCTCTGCCTCTCTGCCTCTCTGCCTCTCTTCCTCTCTGCCTCTCTGCCTCTCTGCCCCTCTGCCCAATCTGGCCTCTCCGCCACTTCCGCCCCCTTTTCCCCCTCTGCTCTGCCCCCTCTGCCCCCCTCTGCCCCCCTCTGCCCCCTCTGCCCCCTCTGCCCCCCTCTGCCCCCCTCTGCCCCCTCTGCCCCCTCTGCCCCCCTCTGCCCCCTCTGCCCCCTCTGCCCCCTCTGCCCCCTCGGCCCCTCTCGGCCCCCCTGGCGTGTGTGTGCGGCAGGCCATGGTGGCGCGAGGGGACTTGGGAGCGGAGCTGCCAGTGGAGGAGGTGCCGCTGTTGCAGGTGTGTTCCTGTGAGACCAGGTTGCTGCATTGCTTGCTGCTCGTGTGCCGCTGCTGCAGGTACGATGCTGGCAGGGAGGCAGGGTGCTGCTTGCGGCGATGCTTGTTCCATGGCCACTGCAAGGCATGCTGTCTGCTGAAAACACACCGCCCGCTCAGCTGCTGGTTTGACCTGTGCTGCTCGTGTCATGTCATGTGCATGGCTCCTGGCGCATGTCTCTTGGCCTATGGCGCATTGCGCATGGCAGCCCACTTCTCACCCTCACTACTCACTCCTCAACCCCTCGCCTGTCCTCACCCCATACACAACTGTCGTGGCAGGGCGAGATCATCCGGGTGTGTCGCGCGCTGGGCAAGCCGGTGATAGTGGCGACCAACATGCTCGAGTCCATGATCAACCACCCCACGCCCACTCGTGCTGAGGTACCTCCACCTTTCCTCCCCACCCTCCCCCCTGCAAACACCTTCTCCCCAACAGCCTTACCTTTTGCTCACCATTGCCTCTCCCCCACCCCCACCACCTCTCCTCCTTCCCCCTTGCCTTTTCTTCATTCCAAGTGTCCGTTGACATGCCTGCATGACATCATTGCCCCCATGCCTGCTGCGCCCTCAATGCTCCTGCCATGCACCCACGGCTGCCACGTGTCCATCACTGCCACGCGCTCTCAGGTGTCGGACATAGCGATCGCAGTGAGGGAGGGCACGGATGCCATCATGCTGTCGGGGGAGACGGCCCATGGCAAGTGAGTGCTGTCTGTCGGGGGAGACGGCCCATGGTAAGTGAGTGCTGTCTGTCGGGGGAGACGGCCCATGGTAAGTGAGTGCTGTCTGTCGGGGGAGACGGCCCATGGTAAGTGAGTGCTGTCTGTCGGGGGAGACGGCCCATGGTAAGTGAGTGCTGTCTGTCGGGGGAGACGGCCCATGGTAAGTGAGTGCTGTCTGTCGGGGGAGACGGCCCATGGTAAGTGAGTGTTGCTGGCCGTGGCGTGATTGATTTTGACCAGCTGTGGCGATGTACTTGGAGAAACGACAAAAAATCAGTACTATTCTCCAGAGAGCACTTTTCTCAAGCGCACGCGCATGTCCAGGTCTCATTCAAACAAGCGTTTTTATCATCTCAACAGGCTTATCACACAAAGTGCACGGTTCATTAGATTTGCATGCTCGCTGCCTGCGTGTGTACTTGCCTGCCTGCGCGCCTACCGCCCTGCCTGTGTGCATGCATGTGTGCGCCCACGTGTGCAGGTTCCCGCTGAAGGCGGTGAGGGTGATGCACACAGTGGCGGTGCGCACAGAGGCTACCATGGCCGTCCCTAACACCCCCGCCAACCTCGGCCGCGCTTTCAAGGTACCAGCACTTCTGATGTCCCTTGCACCGTGCGCCATTGCCTTCCCACTTTCCACTTCCTTGCTCTCTTTCTTTCCCCCCTCGCCGGCAACTCTTTTTCCCTGGTCTCCAGTGGCAAAACTAGTGCATCTAAGCAAGCTCTTTGTCGTCCTTCCCTATGCTTGGCCACTCTCACATTGTCCTCCTCTCCACCATCTGCCCTCCCTCTTTGTTCCTATTCCCCCCCTCCCCCTCCCTTCACTTCACTCTTCTCCTCTCCTCCCCCTGCCCTCCCCCCTCGCCCAGCGGCACACGAGTGAGATGTTTGCGTTCCATGCCACCATGATGGCCAACACGCTGGGCGCGTCCGTGCTCGTCTTCACGCGCTCTGGCTTCATGGCCATGCTGCTCTCGCACTACCGTCCCGCCAGCATCACCTACGCCTTCACCAACGAGTCTGCCCCTTGCCCTGCTCTCCACTCGCCCTGCTCTCCCGTTTGCCATGCTCTCCCGTTTGCCATGCTCTCCCGTTTGCCATGCTCTCCCGTTTGCCATGCTCTCCCGTTTGCCATGCTCTCCCGTTTGCCATGCTCTCCCGTTTGCCATGCTCTCCCGTTTGCCATGCTCTCCCGTTTGTCATGCTCTCCCGTTTGCCATGCTCTCCCAGTCGCTATGCTTGCTCGTTTGTACACCACACACACGCACATTCCTCCACCTTTTCACCTCAAACATTGAAGGTTTTGTCAGGTCACAGTCATTTAATCGGTAGTCAAAGCAGCCTCTCTTCCAATCATCCCTCTGCTTCCGTACTTTCCTTCCTCCTGTCTCTCCTCCCCCCTCCATCTCTCTCCCTCACAGCAAGCGCGTGCAGCAGCACCTGGCGCTGTACCACGGGGTGAGGGCGCTCTACATGCCATTCTCCGCTGATGCCGAGGACACCTTCAACGAGGCGCTGCGCATCCTCCTCGTCAGTGCCCTCGCACCCTGCCCTCTACCTGCTGCCTCTTTCTTTGCTTGTTTCTGTCTGTGTATGCCTGTTTGCTTTTCCAGAAATTACCTTCCACAGGTGCACCTCACTATTGTGTTGTTCAAATCTGTGATGCCTCTCCCCCGGGTGGGCATGAGCAGAAGCGCGGCATGGTGCAGCCGGGGGATGACGTGGCGTTGGTGCAGAGCGGGCGGCAGCCCATCTGGCGGTCGGAGTCCACGCACCACATCCAAGTGCGCCGCGTCATGCCGCTCAACTGAAGCCCTGTGCACCGCGCACCACGTGCTGTAGCCTAGGAGATACCTCCTGCAGAGGGGTGTGCGCAGAATCTTGAGTGGCCAATGCAGTATGGGTGGATATGGCAAAGGATCAGAGCAGAGGGCCCTTTCAGAATGGGTGGAAATGCTCAAGAATTTGCTCGTGCCGAGCACTGTGGGGGTTGAGATAGTTGTACAAGCTGTTAGGCTCGCATGGTGGATAGCCATGTGACGGAGTGTATCATGTATGCATGCATGCCCTTGGATGCACGCTAATAAGGTTACTGTGTGCTTGTACAGCTAATGAAATGTCATGGTAGATGAGCAGTTCATGTACACCTCTTGCATGCGGGATGAAAGTGGAAAGGCAGGCCTCTGAGTTAGGGATTGCTGTTACCTTTCCAGCAGAGCTCACAATGGTTCCTTGCTGTATGCTGTGATTTGATGTGAGGGGCCCACTGCTCTAGAATGGGTGCTGACACTGACTGAGGGTTACAACTCAGGAAACATCACTAAATGGAATGGATAACAGCGGGCAGTCATGGCTGAGCGCATGAGAATGGTATCTGACACTAAGGGCGTGTTCCTACGCTCTTATCAGGCAAACCTCTTGTCAGCCTTGCCTGGTAAAAGTAGCGAGGGTTTTTGGGTTTAGGGAATTTTCAGGGGGAAAAGTAGCGAGCTTGATAAGAGGTTGCCCTGATAAGGGGCCGTAGGAACACGCCCTAAGTACTCCTTGAATATCGACACACACCGCTGCCACTGCTTCTCCGCTGCTTGCTGCACACAGAGTGAGAGGGATGAGCGATTGGGTGACACATGCCATGGTGTGACGCATGGCGTGGTGTGACGCATGGCGTGGTGTGACGCATGGCGTGGTGTGACGCATGGCATGTGATGCATGCTATGCCATAAACGCTAAACACACTCCTTCCCACATCACACGATGCCTGCACACATCACACCATGCCTGCAAACATCACACCATGCCTGCACACATCACACCGTGCCTGCACACATCACACCATGCCTGCACACATCACACCGTGCCTGCACACATCACACCATGCCTGCACACATCACACGTTGGGTTGAATGCGGGAGAGCAGGTGGGTGGGGAGGACGAGCAAGCAGCGGTGCCATGGGTGATGTCGTCAAATGGCAGCTTCCAGTTGTCCGCCACCACCACTCGTATCGCGCCAGCTGTCAGCGCCTGGTTGGTCGGGGGGGGGGGGGGGGGTGTGGGGGAGGCAGAAGGGAAGGCACAAGGGGGGGCAGAAGGGAGGGAGGCAGAGGGGAGGAAGAATGGAGGCTGAAGGGAATAACAGGATGGAGGAAAGGGAGAGGGGCAATAAGGCGAACCGACAATTGACGATGGTCTGATTGATCTTGTTTGCAAACCTAGGATCTTGTACTTATACGATCACTAGGTAGTAGGGATGTTCGAGTCGAACCAAACAGAAGCTCATTTTCTTTGTTATCCCTACGACCGTCTGTGTATGCAAGCGAGTAGGTGGCTGCCAAGGCTTCAGCGAACCTCTCTGGCTCATGCGGGAAAACGCCCTGATCGTAACACCTAATCCTCGATCAAATATGGTAACGACATCGTTTCCATTGTCATGGGTGTAATGCCGCCCGGCCAGACGTGTCGATGTGTAGGCACAAATGACATGCATATCTCAACTCGAATGCCGGAGACGATTTGGGTAAGTCCAGAGCCGGCTTGTTGAGAAGCACGGTGGCCATCCATGTCCACCTTAGCGACTTGGCCATCCATGCCCACCTTAGCGACGTGGCCATCCATGTCCACCTTAGCGACGTGAGGACAGAAGACATCGTTAGTAGGCAGCAAGACTGAAAGGTCTAAGGTTCCAAGGCCACCCAACACGCTTAACATATCCCCATGGCAGATCTGCTGGTAGAATATGGCGTTGATGCGACCGTCCTTCATGACCACGTGGCTATGACACGAGAACCTCGTGTTCATCAGGCATGCCTTCTCCTTATCTGGAACGCCGGCTGACGTGCCCGGGTAGTTCTTGGACAGTAATGTGAGGCCATTGCTATCATGGATGGAGGCGGAGTTCCAAGGCAGCGTCATGCCTGAACACCAGCTCGCGTGCCATGCCTCCACATCTTGTGAGGAGAGATGACGCCAAAGGTGCTATGTGCGCAGCTTGGTTGAGTTTCGAAGCTGTGGCCTATGGATTGGCTGAACTAGATCAAACCCAACTTGAGCATACATGGAGACACCGATCAGTGCTGACGACCTGCCTTTGCGGAGGTGATGCCGCCGACATCGTCAATATGTTCCTTTGTCTAGGAGCAATGACTGAGTGTCAAGCCTGGGGCGAACGTCATGAGCTATGACTCCTGCCCTTGCCAATCAGTTGCACTTGAGGGACGGCTGTGTTAGAAGTGCAAATCTTGGACATCCCTCCGCCTCTGCTGCATTTGTTTCCAAAGCACCGGTGTTATGGCTAGGAGGGTCAACGTTCGTCCTGGCACGAGTACCGCTGCTTGATGGATAATGCGACCTGACATCTAGATAACGTGACGAGGTAGCCTGAACTGAACACTGTTAACAGGAATGGAGTGTTGGCCCCGCCCTCGCTTGGGCAACGCCGACGACTTGGTCGGATGCACGGGAGTAGCAACCGACCGTTCACAGTGGGAGAGCTGCTCGACAGGCTTCGTCGAGCTGCAGGGGACCGCTGTGGTGTTGCTGTCGACTAGGGAGCTCGACAGCTGCAACTGACTAGTCTGGGCGACGGGTGGGACGTCGACCAGGACCTGCAGTTCGACCGGGAGGTCGACGGAGCAGTCCGTCGACCTGACAAGTGAGCAGCGGTCGACGAGGGGAGCTCGGCGACAACCGCTGATGGTTTTGGTCGACGGAAGGGGTCCGTCGACCAGAGGGTAGCTCGACGGGAGTTGTGGTCGACCAGAGGGACCTGGTGGTCGACCGGAAGCACCTGGTGGTCGACCGGGTCGACTGGGTAACCTGCTCGACGAGTTCTGCGGAGGCACGCGAACGTCGTCGAGGTTGCGATGGCGCAGGCGACTGCGGGCTGGTATCCCGGAGTCGATGTGGCTCGTCAGGCGCAGACAACAGCCGACGAATGCCCAACGAGGCAAGTCGGGCCAATCGTCTGCGCACACCTGCGAGCGTGCACACTGCTGTGTTCTACGGGGCAACGCTGGACAGCCGCTCTGCTGCAGCGTTGGCACGCCGTCGACTTGCTCCATTGGCAGGTCACCTTTCTGCAGTGCTGGCGCGGCTCCTCTACGCAACTCTGGCAGGCGATCGACTGAGCTGTGCTGTCGGTCGACCATGCTAGCAGCAGAGTTGCTAGGTGCCTGATGTAGTCATTGTTGTCATTGCTTCTTGTATCATTCTGGAATTCCAACTTTGCTAGTGAAAACTCTTGTCAATTTCTCCCGTGAATGTGCAAGCACTAAGGAACCAATCAAAGCTACGATCACCTCTAGTAGTTCATGCCAACCCCCGTAGTCTAGCTCACTACCGTTGTAGAGTGAATCTCCGCATGGTGCGGTGAGCGTGGATCGAACACGCGACCTTCAGATAGGAGCCGACTTTTGCACCTACTAAGTCGTTCGTAGGCCGGCAGCAGCGATAGTCGCCATGGTCGACCCCGTAGTTGATGCGGGCGTAGCGGACACCTTGGAGGCACGTTTGGCTGACGCGAGGAGACGCCACGCGGATGGCGAGTACGGGACGATCCCCTTAGTGATAGCCGAGTTGGGCATCCGGTCGCAGTGGGCGACGGAACACCCTTCCCGTCCTGCTTCTCCTTGACCGGTGCGCAACGAAGGTGGCGTCGACGACGAGCTCGACGGTGGTGCACGAGTCAGCGGCAGCGAAGGCACGAGGCAAGAGAGGAGTGATCAAGGTCGACGGTGGTGTCGACGGAATCCAGGCGCGAGTGCAGCGGTCGACGGCGGCTGCAGGCAGCTCGCGTGCCGACGTCGTCGATGTTCGACGCCGTTCTCCTCCACTAAGTGGTGGAGGGCTCTCAGTGACGACACACGTGACGGCGGGCGGGATTGCACCGGCGTATGGCTACTTCAAGTTCTCGCCGGACCGGATCACCGTCGCACCGCTGCAAGGTCGACGGGACCTCATCACCTGGAGGGAGTCAATTGAACCTCAGCTAGAGGTCGCCGGGCTGAAGGGCTTCGCCGATGACACCGTGCCATTTCCGCCCGAGGAGGATGTCGAGCTATGCGGGGAGTTTTGTTCTGCTCACCTGCTCACCTTCATGGTCATCTCGAGGTGCTGCTCGCCAGTGATGCAGCTAGCGCTCAGGAGCTATCGAGAGCGACTGGATGCTGGTCACCAGGCATGGCACTTCATCATGTCGACGTACCAGGCCAGGGACGACCTGTACATCGGACAGCTAGAGGAGAAGATGACTCACATTCGAATGGGCGAGCAGGAGTCGGCGACGGACTACTGCAACCGAGCTCGACGGATCCTAGCTGAGATGAGGATGGCGGGCGCCGAATACTCGACGGCGTCCTACATCACCCATGCCTCAAGGGCCTACCGCGCAGCTACAACCTCATGAAGAGGTTTACGATGGTGCCCGGCACACGTGAGTCCCTCGACGAGGACTCCCTTACCAGCTACATCCTCCAGGATGAGGCGATGCAGGAGGCAGAGCAGCCCACGGAGTTCCTTTCGCAGGCGAGTTACGCTGCACCGACGAAGCCCAATTCTCAGCAGGAGCAGCGCGAGAAGCCAGGCGGAGGTGGTAGCGGAGGTGGGCGGTCGACGAAGGACATCGACGACAAGAGGTCGACGAGGGACAAGGGTCGACGAGGTGGTGGTCGACGGCGGGAGTGCTGGATCTGCGGCGACCCCGACCATCTCTCCTTCGAGTGCCCCGACCGCGATGACAACGACGAGGACGACAACAAGGGAGGCCGCGGTCGATCGGCCAGTTGTCGCCCCCGTCGATTTGAGAAGCCGCGCAAGG